GCTGGGGCCTCTGCCCGCGGGGCCCTGGGAACCAGCGCGACGTCACGTAGGCTGTGGCTCATAAACCCACTCGGCTTCCTCAGGGGCCAGTGGTGTCCCCCACACAGAGGGGCGCTTCTGGAGGGGGGGGCTCAGGCCTTCCTGCTGCTCTCCGTGGGGGCAACCAGTGAGCTGATTAGACACTTCATGGCGGGGGCAGAAGCCTTCCCCCCCCTCGGGCCAGCCCAGGAGGACGCCGGGGGGGCCGCCACCTGATGTCGGGGCCCAGAGCGAGGAGCAGGGAGGGGGTGTCTCCTGAAGGGCTCGTCTGTCCCATGGGCAGAGGAGAGGAGGGTGGGGACAGCGTCCCAGGGCCCCTCGGCCAGGGGGGCCAGGCCCAGCGCAAAGGGCAGCGCGGCTCCCAGCTCAGCGGGGAGGGGACGTCGGAAACGTGTCCTGGAAACACTCAGGTGGCTTTTCGGAGCCACCGTCCCGATGGCCGGCCTCGCTGCCCCAGCTCTGTCCCCAGGAGTCTGAGCTTGTCTGGGGGCCGGGGTCACAGGTTGGTGACGGGGGAAGTGCCCAGACCTGACTGGGAGGCCGGTGCCCTGGATGCTGCCCCGGACGCTGCCACCCTGTTCCCGCGCCTCAGCGCGCCCTCACCAGCCGGTCAGTCTCAGCTCCTACCAGCGGTTCTCAACCTGTGGGTCGCGACCCCTTTGGCGGTCCAACGACCCTTTCACAGGGGTCGCCTCAGACCATCCTGCATATCAGATATTTACATGACGATTCATCACAGGAGCAACATTACAGTTATGAAGTAGCAACGAAAATAATGTTATGGTTGGGTCACAACATGAGGAACTGTATTTAAAGGGCCAGAAGGTTGAGAACCACTAACCAGGGCCTGTCCTCCCGTCTCCGTCCCTCCTGCACACGCCCAGTGCCTCCGCCCGCCCAGGGCCCCAGGTCGGACGCAGCTCTGCTACCTCCCCTGCCCCCCACGACGGCCACTTTAGGGCCAGGATCCAGGGACCTCGAGGGCACGTGCCTGCTGCC